CAATAATGTATTGATCCTGTCAACTGTTTATAGACCCGTGTTTAACACCATTTCAATAATGTATTAGCATGTTGTTGAAATGGTATTAAACATCGATCCTGTCAACTGTTTATAGGCTCATTTCAATAATGTATTGATAGAATCAGCTGTTTATAGCTGTTAATGTGTTGATCTTGTCAATTGTTTGTAGATCGATGTTTAATACCATTTCAACAACATGCTAATCCTCTCAAGTATATATAGGCCAGTGTTATTATAAACATATAATAATGTGTTGATAGAGTCAACTGTTTATAGACCTGTGTTTAACACCATGTTGATCCTCTCAACTGTTTATATAATTGCATTTGTAAGCACAATTCGGACCTTTTTCAGTTGTTTTTACGGTTAACTATTCTGCCATATATTTTCTGTTAACTATTGCCCCGTACATTTATCTGTTAACTATTCTGTCGTATATTTATCTGTTAACTATTCTACTGTATATTTATCTGTTAAATGTTCTGCCGTATATTTATCTGTTAACTATTCTCCATATATTTATCTGTTAACTATTCTGCCGTATATTTATCTGTTAACTATTCTGCCATATATTTATCTGTTAACTGTTCTGTAGTATATTTATCTGTTAACTATTCTGCCGTATATTTATCTGTTAACTATTCTGCTGTATATTTATCTGTTATCTATGGTTAGCTTTGGAACAACAGTTATTTGTAGCAACACAAGCAGTTTTCATTAAGCTTTGTTCAGTAAGCCTCAATTTTTATCTTTATGTGCCATCCTTGACTGTTTTGGAGAAAAAGTAAAAATGTCCAATTATAAGGAATACATTGTTTAGATTTTGATCAGTTATATTTCATATTCTACAAACTTTGTGTATTTTTACAGTAGAAAATGAACTGAAATATATATAAAGGATGTTACATTATATTTCAGAAAAACAAAAAAATACATTAATGGAAAACTTTATTTGTTAAAACACATTAAGGTTAAAATTCCTTGTTACATATTTCTCCTGAGTGATTCAGTTTCCTTCCTCCAAATACTCATTGTTACTTTTTAAAAAGCAATCTAAAAAGTTCTGATTAAGCTTTACAAACATGACTGGCTGAAACTTGTAGTTTACTACAACAGAAAGATGTTTTCATTATAGAAATCACCTACTTAATAACATTTTGTTTTATGATAATCTCTATTACAAATGGCATATACATTGAAACATTTGTTAGTAAAATCATCTTGCACTTAACTATTATAAACTTCACAGAGGTTACTACACTCTTCCTGTCAGTACTAACAAGCTGACCAGTAGACACACTTCCAGAGGTTATCTCACCACTGCTCTCAGTACTTACAAGCTGACCAGTAGACACAGTTCTAGAGGTTACCACACCATCACTCTCAGTACTTACAAGCTGACCAGTGAATCTGACTGACAGACACACACACAGTCCCAGAGGTTATCACACCACCACTATCAGTACTCACAAGCTGACCAGTAGACACAGTTCCAGAGGTTACCACACCATCACTCTCAGTACTAGCAAGCTGACCAGTGAATCTGACTGACAGACACACACACAGTCCCAGAGGTTATCACACCACCACTATCAGAAATAAAACACAATAACAAGCTGACCAGTAGTTTGTTTGAATTTATGCATAAAGCTACACAATGGGCTATTTGTGCTCTGCCCACCACGGGTATCGAAACCGGATTTCTAGCGTTGTAAGTCCGCAGACATACCGCTGTACCACTGAGGGGCCTGATCAGTAGACACTCATGTTACCTTTGTAGATGAGAAGGTAGAATGCATTTATAAAAATCACAAAACAACCCAGTATCAATCACAATAATCTCTGACATTAGGGATGTTTGTTTCTTCACAGAGGCACCCAGATTTGGTAAAATAACACAGGAAGAATTGGAGATATGAAGGGAAGATCTGATTCAGATCTGGTAAAATAACACACGAAAAGCTGAAGATACCAAGGGAAGAACAGGTAAAATATCATAGGAAAAGCTGGAGATACCAAAGGAAAACTGATTTGGATCTGGAAAAATAACACATGAAAAGTTGAAGATACCACGGGAAGAACAGGTAAAATATCATAGGAAAAGCTGGAGATATCAAGGGAAGAACCCAGCTTTTCCTATGATATTTTACCTGTTCTTCCCTTGGTATCTTCAACTTTTCATGTATTATTTTTCCAGATCTGAATCAGTTCTTCCCTTGGTATCTCCAGCTTTTCCTATGATGTGTTATTTTACCTGTTCTTCCCTTGGTATCTCCAGCTTTTCCTGTGTTATTTTACCTGTTCTTCCCTTGATATCTCCAGCTTTTCCTACGATATTTTACCTGTTCTTCCCTTGATATCTTCAACTTTTCATGTATTATTTTACCAAATCTGAATCAGTTCTTCCCTTGGTATCTATTTTACCTGTTCTTCCCTTGATATCTTCAACTTTTCCTAACACAGGAAAAACTGGAGATACCAAGGTAAAACTTTCACATACACAACAATGAACAAAGAATCGTATTTTTAGATAAATGTTATTAAACAAATAAAAACATTAAAAGTAGTAACAAAAAATTCCAAAAAAAAACATAAGCAAAAAACCCTGCTTATATAAAACATCTCATTTTATCAAAGTGAAGCGTATCACACCTGTGGAGAACAGCCAAATCTAATTCTAACACTAATGGCACTTGGGTAGATGTTGAATAAAAAAATTAATATTTGTGTCACCTTATAAATCTTAATACCTTGACATGAAATACTCTCATCATTCACTCACCAGCTAACAAGAACAGGTTGGAATTCCACTGTTCTTTCAAAATTTTAAGCTTGTTAAAGGTTAAGCTGTTCAATATAATACTCATAGAATTAAAACAAATACAAATATATTCAAATGTCAGTAAAATTACAACCTAATAAATAAGACAAAAATACTAAAGGACAACCAAACTGAATGTAATTCTGAAATAACGCTACGTCATCAGATGTCAAAACACGAAATACACAAAGGAGCTTAGTAGGTTACGACATTCTGAAGAATGAAATAACAATACTAAGATTTGATCAACCTCAAAAAAGAAATGATCATCTTCATTACATTCAGACAGAGAACAATGAAAGAGAAGCAACATAAAATGTAAGCTAGCTACCTTATGAAAATATTCTTCAGGTGTTGTTAGGATTCACAAAACAATGTTTGAATAATAAAAAGGCTTAAGTTAGAGGCACAACAAAAATAAAATCACCATTATTCTATAACTAACAAGAAAGTGATTTTACTTATAAATTGTAAAACCACACATTTGTTGTTTTCAGCACACTTTAAGACATACTATGTATTCTTCAAAACATTTGGCTACTCTTCAAATAATTTTACCAACCTCAACCTATGACATATTTTTCGGTAACTTTAATATCTGAAAATTATAAACCAAATTAAATGTTTACCCACAATCAAGAATGTAATACTGAAATTAGGCTAATAAACATTAGAACAAAAATCAGCATTAAGGAATTTGGAACTGGATTTCAAATTCAAGAAGAGAGCAAAAAAAGCTTTTAGAGAATAATAGGTAGAAAAATATTCAAATTAAACGAGTACATACCATGCCTTTGTTTACTCTGATATCAATACACAACTACCACAGTTTGATGATTTCAGTACAGAAATATTTTATATGTCTAGTTGAGATTCTTAATATTAGGTTTTTCATCTTTACTTAAATACACAGAGGAGTAAAAAACTTGGAGATACCTTGGCCTCAAAATAATACACACAACAAAAGGTACATGATGTCGATGTAGATATCTTGGCCACAAAATAATACACACAACAAAAGGTACATGATGTCGATGTAGATACCTTGGCCACAAAATAATACACACAACAAAAGGTACACGATGTCGATGTAGATACCTTGGCCTCAAAATAACACACACACCAAAATGTAGAGGATGTTGATGCATTTCCATCTTAACATTCTGCAGTATTGAAAACCAGTTGGTTTATAATTACATTCATACCAAAGACAGGTGAATTTCATATATTTGAACTTATATATATAGTGCCGTGTTTGTTTGTTGTTCTTTTAAAATTCTTTATCAAACTTTGCACACAGGTCACTTTAGTCTCAGATTACAGCACAAGATTTGATACCTTAATTAACAATATACAAACTAGTTAATACACAAAAACAAATATTTCAGAAAAACTTTAACAAGGAAAATAATTGATATAAAAAAACTTGTTATAAAAATCCATGTCAATCTTAGTTAATTTGGGTTAATAGAAAAATTCAGATTTAACACCAAAAACCAATTCACAAGTGTTATATTCTACCTCGACAGTTCATTACCTGCTGATTAAAGGAAGAAGCTTGTGATATTCAGACAACACAAGTGTTATATTCTACATTATTGGTTCATTACTTGCCGATTAAAGGAAGAAGCTTGTGATATTCAGACAACACAACTGTTATATTCTACATTATTGGTTCATTAGCTGCTGATTAAAGGAAGAAGCTTGGGATATTCAGACAACACAAGTGTTATATTCTACCTTGGCAGTTCATTACTTGCCAATTAAAGGAAGAAGCTTGAGATATTCAGACAACACAAGTGTTATATTCTACCTTGACAGTTCATTACTTGCCAATTAAAGGAAGAAGCTTGTGATATTCAGACAACACAACTGTTATATTCTACCTTGACAGTTCATTACTTGCCAATTAAAAGAAGAAGCTTGTGATATTCAGACAACACAACTGTTATATTCTACCTCGACAGTTCATTACTTGCCGATTAAAGGAAGAAGCTTGTGATATTCATTAATTGAACTTCAGAGGTAAAACAGATTTCAATGGAAGACAAACAATTATGTGGCAGTAGAGTAGCAGAAAGCACTGGCTTGTCTTCCCATACTAGAGGACAGACGATCCTCACTGTTTCCCACCATAAGTAGGGTTCTTGAAAGTTGTTGTTGCTTGCTTATAAATAGGATTTTCGCCCTACAAGTAAAAAACAAAGTTAATATCATATAAAATATTGATGAATCATGCATAATATTAATAGGTCATAGTTTGTTTTTGTTTTATTAAAAGAAACAATACAACCCCACCCATCTTTTATTGGGCAATACATTTCTACCCACCTTCTGTCTGACAGTACATCTCCACCCACTTTCTGTCCACTTGTACAACCCTACCCACCTTCTGTCTGACAGTATAACTACACCCACTTTCTGTCCACTTGTACAACCCTACCCACCTTCTGT